AACTCTGGGCCTGAGCACCATCCCTCAGCTCTTCAGCTCAAGGCTGGCACTCTACCACTTGAGCCACAGCCTATTTTCTGAGTGGTTTATTGGAGATAAGAGTCTCACAGACTTTCTTACCCATGCTGGCTTTGACCTGCGATCCTCAGATGTCAGCCTCCTGAGTAGCTAGGATAACAGGCTTGCTGAGTATTTTGAAGATGGAGTCTATAGAACTTTTCTTCATGAGCTGGCTTTGAACTGTGTTCCTCTGATCTCAGTCTCCTGAGTAGCTAGGATTACAGATATGAACTATTGGTATCTGGCTTCCACATTTTATTTTTATTTCTTTCCCAATCTTCAAATCTACCAGTTTCCTAATTTGTCTGCCTGGACTATCCTGGCTAGCTAAATCAAACTAAATTCAATATTTTTCCAGTCACAAGCAATATTTTGAACTTTGGAGATAAGTATATATAAGTATGTTAAAGGGAAAAGTAATCAAATTTAAAGGACTTTCTGAGGCAAGTAAATGACAAGTTAAGGAGATTATGAAGACTTTAAAAAGGAAAAACCATCAAAATTTTGTAAATGTTCCTTTTATACTGATTTTTTTGTTTGTTTTATGTCATAAGAAAAAATATTGTCAGGGATTGTGATTTATCATCTGGGAATCTTCAGAATCTAGAACAAATGGCCCTTGAGTTATGATTCAGTTTGAGATTCTTTATGACTTAGTTATGATGTGAAAGTGATATGCATTCTGTAGAAACCATACTTTGACTTTTCCTGGACTAGCAATGTACAATAAGATTCTCAGCCAGGGATGGGAATGTGGTTTAATAGTAGAGTGCTTACCTCACATGCATGAAGCCCTGAGTTAAATTTCTCAGTACCACATACACAGAAAAAGCCGGACGTGGCACTGTGACTCAAGTGGTAGGGTACTAGCCTTGAGCAAAAGAAGCTCAGGGACAGTGCACAGCCCTAGAGTTCAAGCCCCAGGATGGGGGAGGGGGGGAGGGAGAGAGAAGATTCTCAACCAACAATCTACAGCATATCATTTTCCCAAGTCCAAGCTTTGATGTTCTGTAGGCTAGGTGTATCAAATGTATTTTGACATATTATAGTCTGTTGTTTGTAACATGGATCATCTGTAGATATTCTTTCTGTCCCTTTTTCTTCTTGCAGAAAGAGTCTGTCAAAGGAGCTGATATTTGGTCATGGCTTAGATACCTTAGGCTAGCCTATTATAATAAACTTAAAGACTCATTAGATAAACATAATAAGAGTTTATTTATTTACCTCTTCCACATTCAGCCAGAAAATGGGAAAGAAGGGGAAGAAAAATTATGCACGTTCTTACAGGTCAGGTCTAGGAGTGGCCAAGTCTTCTCCTGCTTTATGTACAGAGGCTACAAAATGTCATTTTGCTAAGTCTCTGGAAGGAAAGGAACCATACTTTGTTAAGTTTATGAAAGATTTCCCCACATAAGTCTTCTTAGATTATTCCTCTTAGCAAAATTAAAATTTCTCCAGAGAACCACTCAGACATCCAGGTGCAGAGAACAAAGAAAGGTTTATTGCCAGGAAAGGGGGCCAGCAAGACTCCTTTTCACAAGGGAGGAATGAGAAGAAGCACTGGCTATTGTCTGGGGTGACCTATATAACCTAGGAGGTTTAGGAGGGGCTAGAAGGGGCTAGGAGGTGGAGACCCTGGTGTGGACATGAGGACCAGGGGCTTCATCATGTCGGACTAGGATTTATGGCTGCTGTCCAAATAGTAGATAAGGGTCCTGCAACTGCCCAGACCTGAAGGTCACTCTAAGGGGCTCTTGTTGCCTTAGATGGTGGTAGCTGCCCCCAGAGAAGCGCCATCCCAATGTACAGGGGGTTGGAAGTTGGTTATTTACTGCCTTTACTACATGGGCCTAGTGTTGCCTAGGAAGGGAGCATGCTAAGCTGTGGAGAAGGGAAGAAATGAACTAAGCTATGGGAAGGGACTCATTTTTGCTAACAATTCCTGTCAGTACCTGGCTCAGAGATACAATCGTTACCTTTGGGGGCCTCAATCTAGTAGAGAAGGGAACCATAGAACAGTGCAGTGACATAAGAGTGATTTATCCAAAATGCCATGGGAGATGAGACATAGAGAAGAATGGTGGTTCCTGAATAGCTAGCTACCCTTGTTCCTGGGGACTGGATCTCCAGACTACAAAAACCCAGATGATTTGCTCTTCACGGAAACATCGGTATTTTCCCAGGATTTCTTCATGGGTTGGAGTCATCTTCTTTCTCTCTTTTCCCAGTCATTGAGGGTCCTGAGATGTTAGATTTACCTGGTGCTGTGTGTCCTTTTTTCTTTCTGCAGCTCATGTGACTCTGGATCCAGATACAGCCTACTTCGAGCTCTTTGTTTCTAAAGATTGCCGAAGTGTGAGCCGAAAAAATATATGGCGGGATCTTCCTGAAAAACCCTAAAGGTTCTTATTTGACCCTTGGGTACTAGGCCAAGAGGCCTTCTCTTCAGGGAAACATTACTGGGAAGTTGAAGTGGGAGACGGATTTCTGGGGGCTCGGTGTTTGTGAAGAAAACTTAAAAAATACATTGTTGGTTTCAGAGTCACCTCAACATGGATTCTGGGCCATGGAACTGTATACTAATAAGTATCAGGCCCTCACCTCACCTCCAACAGTCCTTCCCTTGAGTAGCCCCCTTTGTCGGGTAGGAATCTTCCTGAACTATGAAGCTGGGTATGTTTCCTTCTATAATGTGCCTGAAAAGTCTCACATCTACACCTTTCCCCAGGCCTCCTTCTCTCAACCCCTCCAACCCTATTTCTGCCTCTTTTTCTATCACCCAGCTCCTCTGACAATCTGTCACAGAGATGAACACTGCTTGGCCTTTCCCTCAGTTAAACCCATGGGAAAGAACTCTGCACTGGGCTTTAAAAGTCACTTCTAGTCACTTCTGACTCTTCAGTGGACTTCAGGAAATCTTTTGAAATCCTTTATACTTCATCAACAGTTAAGTACATATTCTCTCTAACATTTCTTTCTACTGAAAAATAAAAAGGAACTATGTGCATCTGATCATATTAAATGAAATTTATCAAAATGACCTCTAGAAAATGGAAACAAGTTTTTTTTCCCTTTGTTTTTTTCTTTTTGTCTTATGTCTAGGAATGTAAGAGGAGGCACAGAAATAGAGGGACAAAGGGTAAACAAATGCAGCAGTGGTACTCACTAGACACTATGTTGAAAATAAACTTGTGGGTTTATACAACTTGTGGGTGGGGATGGGAGGGAAAAACTGGGAGAGCATGGGAGAGTGTACTCTTGGTCTGACTTATGTAACTGTACTGTATATCACCTTTATAATAATAAAAAATTAAGATAGATAGACATATCTTTAAGTTCAACTACTCTTTTTTTTTTTTTTGGTCGGTCATGGGACTTGAACTCTGGGCCTGGGCGCTGTCCCTGCGCTCTTCAGCTCAAGGCGAGCATTCTTACTTCTTGAGCCACTTCCGATTTTCTAGTGATTTATTGGAGATCAGAGTCTCATGGACTTTTCTGCCCGGCTGGCTTTGAACCATGATCCTCAGATCTCAGCCTCCTGAGTAGCTAGCATTACAGGAGTGAGCCACCAGCGCCCAGCTTCAACTACTTTTAAGCTCCATCCTAATCAACATGAAGTCTCAGTTCTTTTGACTTTTACACTCAGACACGCAGTATTTTCTTTCTGTATCTTCTGGGGGTCTGGGAAAAAGTTAGGGCTAGTGTATGTTGTTCCAGAGCTGAGTGATACAGAGGGCCAAGGAATAACAGTCCAATACCACAGAGTCTTGTCAGGAATTGTCATCCCAGCAGAGGCAAGAAATATGGATACAAAGATGACAAAGATAAGAAATATAGAAAGGAATGTCTATCTGATCTTCTTTTACTTAAAATGACCATCTTAGTATCATGGAGAAATGAAAGATAGATGCATTTTTTTTTTTTTTTTGCCAGTGCTGGGGCTTGAACTAGGCCTGGGCACTGTCTCTGAACTGCTTTTGCTCAAGGATAGTGTTCTACTGCTTGAGTCACAGTGCTACCTCTGGCTTTTCTGAGTAGTTTACTGGAGATAAGAGTCTCATGGACTTTCTTCTCCCTGCTCACTTCCAACCACAATCCTCACTCAGATCTCAGCCTCCTGAGTAGCTAGGATTACAGGCATGAACTTCTGGCTCCCAGCTAGCAGTGGTCATCTTTAATACCTGGAACAGGAGGAAATAGGATGTAAATAGGACCAAAGTCAAAACATTTCAGTTCCACATGAAAACTTCTTTTCGAGTCATAGAAAACCTTGCAAGGTACAAGCTCTTAGAGAAGTTACTTTCCAGGGCATCCCGCTATTCTGGGACTTAATTTTACATCATATACCACATGATAGCAACTCTGAACTCTAATCCCCAGATCTCAGCCTCCTGAGAGGCTTACAGGTGTGGATCACTGATGACAGGCCCCAATAGTTTTTACATGAAAGACAAGGCCATCCTAACAGATACAGCAGCCTCCTCCCTATTTCTTGTTTCTGAAATCTCTTTCACTGCACCATCTCAAAGGCTAATAACTTGAATAAGATTCTTCTTACTATGGAAAGAGGGTGAGTCTTGTTCACATAATATCCTTGCCCTTCCAGTCCTAACCATGAGACACTTCCACACAGAACCCACATATCATGGTCAGCAGCCACAATTAGCTTGAAATCTCAGCCTTAACAACAACAAAGAAAAGTACTACCTTGTTCTGAACAAGCAAAAAGGAAATAAAAGATGCTCTCAAAAGGCTATTCGCGGTTTGGTATTCCCGCCCGCCCCTCCCCCCTTTCAGTTTTTCTAGGTATTCTACCTAGTAACTGATGACAGAAAAGCTGAGGAATGCCATTGGCTACTGAGCCACAGCGGCCCAATCGTGAGCTCTAGAGCACTCATTGGAAATTTGAGGTTAGGAATGCGAATGGACTGGATCCGAGGACTGGCGTCCGGTATCCCCGTATCCTGTAAATAATGCAAGGCGAAGAAAAGTTCTTTTCGAGCGGCTGGTTCTCAGGTGGAAATTGTGACCATGAACCTGTTGGAGAAAAGAGCAATGATGGTAAAATTGTCCTTTGTGGGAGAGAGAAGAAACGAAAGCACAGAGGTTAATTCCGGAAGGGAAGGAAGGGAAGGGGAGCGCCCGGTGGATCCGGGGTGGTGAGCCGTAGAACGGAATCTTCTCTGGAGGAAGGGCCGGGTCCCTGGCCAGGCGAAGTCCACGGTGGGGAGGCACAGCCGCCCCTGCTTTACCAGGGGTCGATCGGCCAGGCTCACGGGGAAAAAGGAAGGAAGGCGTGGAAGAATATCAAGTGACAACCGAAGAAACCGGACTCTGGAAAGAAAAACGAGCCGAACAGGGGAGAAAACTGTCTGCCTGATGTTTTTGTTCTTTTGTTTCATGGAATGTTTGATGAACCTATCTATCAGGGTATACGGGAACCACAAGATGAAGGGATCTGCCCAAGACAGGAGTTAGGATGAAAGTCTGCCCTAGATGAAAACGACTTGGCCGATTTCTCCTCCTATGTAACCCTAGGCGTTGGGTCCCTGCCTGGCCTAGATGAATCCCATCCTGGAGACGTATGGAGTCAGTTGCTTCACTGCACCTCAGCCTGGAGGCCTCTCTTCTCTCCCTCTTCCTCAGCCTGTGTGCATTGGTCTCAGGTAGGTTTGTATACCACTTGCTCCTAATCAACTTTTCAAAAAGCAGCCTCAAAACTTAAGTCTGTGAACAAGAGCCGAAGGGAGGACTGCAAACTGTGTAGACTCATCCTTGAATTCTGAATTCTGGATTTAGACTAGTGTTGTTCAGCAGAAAAGCATCGAGACCCATGAAAGAGAGCTGCACACAGAGCTGTAAATTTTAAAGCAGCAACGTTTCAGAAAATAAGAAACAGATGAAACAATGTTTAATAGTTTGTTTACTTGCCAATAGCTAAATATTATTATTGAAGTACTACTTAATGCAAAATATTACTAAGAAAATATTTAATATTTTAAATTCTAACTTTTTACACCTGGCCCAAGTGGCTCATGCCAGTAATAAAATTCCAGTTTGCAGTGATAAAGGCTACATCAAGTCTTTAATTAAAAATAAGTTCCTTATAAATGTTAGAAGTTCCAGGTGCTGGCTCATGACTGTAATCTTTGCTACTCAGGAGGCTGAGATCTGAGGATTGAGGTTTGAAGCCAGTACAGGCAAGAAAGTTCATAAGACTCTTATATCCAATTAACCACCAAAAAGGCAGAAGTAGAGCTGTCAGTTAAGTAGAGCTATAGAGCACCATCCTTGAGCAAAAAAGTTAAGGGATTGCTGGGTTCTAGTGGCTCATGCCTGTAATCCTAGTTACTCAGCAGGCCGAGATCTGAGGATCACAATTCAAATTCAGGTCTGTAAAACTCTTATCTCTAATTAACTACCACCAGAAAACCAGAATTGGTGCTAATTTTCTGTCTTTGTTGGACAGGCCAGTTTTCTGTTGTGGGGCCAACTGATCCCATCCAGACTATGGTGGGAGAAAACACCACATTACACTGCCACCTGTCACCTGAGAAAAATGCTGAGGACATGGAGGTACGGTGGTTTCGGTCTCAGTTCTCCTCTGCCGTGCTGGTGTATAAGGGCAGGCAAGAGAGAACAGAGGAACAGATGGAGGAATATCAAGGAAGAACCACCTTTGTAAGCAAAGACATCAACAAGGGAAGTGTGGCGTTGATTGTTCACAATGTCACAGCCCATGACAATGGCATCTATCACTGTTACTTCCAAGAAGGCTGGTCCTATGATGAGGCCGTCATACTCCTTGTGGTGACCAGTAAGTCACTTCAAATTGCTCTATTGCTTTTCTCCAGCATGACTTTTGGGGAAAGTGTTTCTCCTAACTGCAGGCCTATTGTATAGCAGCAGATTTACTTGTTTGTTTATTTCTACAATCCTTTACATAGAGAGGGTAACCTTTAAGTGGGTTTGTTCTGTTAAGCTGTAGACATTGGTTCTTGAGAAGCATACACAAAACTTAGTTGTGACCTTGAGCAAAGGAGTATAGTTAATCCCTGAAGATAATGCTTACTTTTGCTTTATCATTGAAACTGGTTACTTTTGAAAGTGCAGACAGCATTGTCATTAATTACACTGGGACAACTGATAACAGGTCTGTCTAATGAACTACAACATAATACATATAATTTATTGAGCAATATTAATCTTGCCTTTTTCCCCCTTTTCCCCAAATACAGATTGTAGAATGATGAACATGTACATAGATAATTTAATAAAGCGTGATTAAGAGGCAAAATTATGTACTCAGTTTGGTAGATCCACAGAGACACCGACTGAGATTCTGCCAGGAGAAATTTTTTTTTTTTTGGTCAGTCATGGGGTTTGAAATCTGGGCCTGGGTGCTGTCCTTCAGCTCTTCAGCTCAAGACTAGTGTTCTACCACTTGAACTACAGCACCACTTCTGGTTTTTTGAGTGGTTTATTGGAGATAAAAGTAAAAGTCTCACAGCCTTTTCTGCCCAGGCTAGCTTTGAACCACAATCCTCAAATCTCAGCCTCCTAAGTAGCTAGGATTATAGACATGAGCCACCAGCCCAGCACCAGGCTCCAGGAGAAATTTGATGGGCTTCAGAATAGAAATGACAATAAAGCCAGAATTTCTTTTCTTTTTTCTTTTTCTTTTTTTTGCCAGTCCTGGGCCTTGAACTCAGGGCCTGGGCACTGTCCCTAAGCTTCTTTTGCTCAAGGCTAGTACTCTACCACTTGAGCCACAGTGCCACTTCTGGCTTTTTCTATTTATTTGGTACTTAGGAATTGAACTCAGGGTTTCATGCATGCTAGGCAAGCATTCTACCACTAAGCCACATTCCCAGCCCCAAAGCCAAGATTTCTAAGAGTGTATTAATAATGAATTTGAGGAACCTTATTCCCCAAAGCTAGTATAATCTAGTTTAAAAGAAACTTTGGACACTGGAAGACCCTTTAAGACATAGAAGAATTGATGGTGGCATTTTGGTATTGGAGTCCATTGAAGTAAGTGCTTTAATTTCTTGTCTTTAGTAGAATTTATTGAGTAGGCTTAATAGAGGAACTACTGTATAATAAAAATTTGTATGATCAGACAGATCAGGCCCTGTACTAATCCCTTCACACAGATTATTTTAGTTGATCATGTTAACAACCACATAAAGAAAGCAATTTCATTTTACTTTTACAGTTGAAGCTATAAGGTTCATAGAAGTTACTTCATTGATAAGTAGTAGAGTCATTTGCCATGTAATAGAAAATGTCACCCAAAGGGATTGAGTCAAAATCAGGTAAGGTTTAAGGTTTAGGGTAGAGAAGTGTGGACCGTGGGGCAAGCAGGACACTTCACTGGTGCGTAGACTAAAATGTTATGGAGTGTGAGGTGCTAAAGGTAGTGGGGCTGGGAAGGTGGCTCAGTGGTAGAGCACTTGCTTTGCATGCCAGAGACCCTGGGTTCGATTCCTCAGCACCACGTAAGCAAAAAGAAAAAACCTGGAAGTGGTAGAGCGCTAGCCTTGAGCTGAAGAGCTGAGGGACAGTGCCCAGGCCCAGAGTTCAGGCCCCACAACCGGACCAAAGAAAAAAAAAAGATATATGGTAGTGATGAAAGTGATAAAAATCATATTCTTATTATAATAGCTACCATTTATTGGGCAATCCCTGTCCAAATAACTTCTCCCAACAATTTTAGATGAGGAAATATATCAACATGGATAATCCACATTAGCAAGTAGAGCAAAGATTTAAATCTGAATTTTCCTGATTCCATAGCCCCTCCTTTGTGTAAGTATTTTGCCTCTCATGCCTTCCTAATAGCACATTTTTCAGCATTCAGACCATATCTTCTTTTATTGCACAGCACAGGTTTGGCTATTAGGTAAGAGGAACATTAATGTTTTGCTTCTTAGAACCATACCATTTTTTTCTCACAATCTGCCCTGTCTTCTAAGCCAACTACCTATTTATCACTGTTATGGGTGCAGAGAAACCGGGAACAAATGTTTTATAATACATTCTACCAAGATACAAAGAATTACCAATTCCCAATATAATTTGCCACTGTCCATTTGGATATGAGCAGGCAGTTGAAAGGAAGGAGGAATGAGTTGAGTTCTATGGGTTTGAGGTTGACTCAAGGTGATATTGTTGCGATTTTATGAATTAAAAAAAATTGTATGATCATTGGGCATATGGCCAAAGGGACAGAAATCTCCCAGGAACGTGTCTGCAGTGTCCTCACATCCAGTCAGGAAGCCTTAATTGAAGACTCTTTTAAACATATAATATGATGAGGAAGAGTTTAGATCCACAGTATTTTTTTTAGGATGGTCTTCTGATGACATATGCTAGGGACTGATATTGTTATTGTAGCTATAATGCATTCAGATCTTCCTAACAGGGGAGGCTTATACAAAACTACCTAATTAGTTGAGCTTCTCAGAGGTAAACATCTCTGAATTGGGACAAAGGCCAGCTTTACAGGATCTCTTTATTCACTCTCCTAAAAATATCAGCTTCTATAGTTAGTAGATAACTGGGAGCTTTTCTTTTGTTTGTTTGTTTGTTTTGTCGGTCATGGAGCTTGAACTCAGGGCCTGGGTGCTGTCCTTGTGCTCTCCAGCTCAAGGCTAGCACTTTAGCACTTGAGCCACAGTACCACTTCCTGTTTTCTGAGTGGTTTATTGGAGAGTCTCACAGTCTTTCCTGCCTGGGGTGACTTTGAACTGCAATCCCCATATCTCAGCCTCCTGAGTAGCTAGGATTACAGGTGTGAGACACCAGCTCCCAGCTGGGAGCTTTTCTTTACTTGGCCAGTAAGAAAGAAACTGTGGTGTGAAGTCCTGAGCTAGAAGAGAAGACAGTATCTTGAGATATTAAGATTATGGAAGCCTGGCAAGTTTCCATCCTTGTTATATTATTCTAGAATTTCAAGAGGCTAAGGTTCCTTACAAGGAACAGAAAATGAATCCCTAAGCCTGTTTTATTTTTATTTATTTTTCTTTTTGGGGGGGGTTCTGGTTGTGGGGCCTGAACTCTGGGCCTGGGTGCTGTCCCTCAGCTCTTCAGCTCAAGGCTAGCGCTCTACCACTTGAGCCACAGCACCACTTCCAGCTTTTTTCTTTTTGCTTATGTGGTGCTGAGGAATCAAACCCAGTACCTCATGCATGCAAGGCAAGTGCTCTACCACTGAGCCACCTTCCCAGCCCCGCCTATCTGTTTTAGATTGGAGTGAAAAATTAAACTCTCTGGAAGAATAAATCAACTAGCATTTACAGCAGATATCACAGAACCACAATGCTGTGATGGTGCCTGAATGTGGAGTACAAGGAAAAGATTATGATGTAATCCTGTGCTCTCAGAGTTCTCATTTTATTTGATATATTGGTCTTCTCCAACATCAAGCTTCCTTCTTTCTTCTTTTTTCTCTTTTCCTGTTTCTTCCTCCCTCTATCCCTTTTTGTCTTCCTTTTTTCACAGATGGCATACTACAGCAATGCACAGAATTTGCATATTCAGTATCCCAGTGCTCAATTGCACTATACCTTTTGCCTTGGCTTCTACTATAAAGAGCTGATCCTCTAAGACATAATGACTAAAACAGCACTGCCTATTTTGTAGTTTTGGGGATTGAATCCAGGGCTTTGTACATACCAGGCATGGCACTGAGCATGTACACTGAGCTATATCATCAGCTCAACCACTGCATTTTTAACTGAGCCCCCCTCTCCCTTGTAGGCATGGGCTCTAAGCCTCTCATTGAAATGAATGGCCATGAAGATGGAGGCATCCTGCTGGAGTGCACATCTGGAGGGTGGTACCCAGAACCCCATGCGGTATGGAGAGACCCATATGACGAGGTCATACCTTCCTTGGAGGAGTCTTATGCTGCTGACAGTGATGGTCTCTTCATGGTCACCATGACTGTGATCATCAGAGACTGTTCTTTGAGGAATATGACATGCTCCATCAACAACACTCGGCTTGGACAGGAGATGAGAAGTGTGATTTTCATTCCAGGTCAGTTTTCTGCCCTGTGAAGACTCACATTTGAAGGTAGGGTTCTCAGCAGACACATTGAAGTAGTAGTGAATAGGACCTGAGTGAGAGAAGAGTGTTAGTGGAAGCTAAACCCTGAAGAACAGAAAGCTAAAGCTAGGCTGAGGCCTTTTCTTTGGCACAAGAAGAAATCAAGTCATCTCAAAATACATATGTAGAAGCTTCTTCAATTAGGGTATGTCTGTTTTTCCCATCCAGTGCTGCAGCAAAGTTTAAACATTAAGAGCAACCATATGCCAGGTATGATGGTATATGCCTATATTTCTAACACTTGGGAAGTGAAGGCAGAAGGATTATAGATTTGAGGGCAGCCTGTGCCACATAACAAGCTCCAGAACAGACTAGGATACATAGCAAGATATTTCTTATAAGAAAGAAAAACTACCCCTGCAAAAGAAACCCCCCCAAAACAATTATAAACCATGGACAGAGGTATGGAAAAATGACCCTGTGGAACTCTCCTGTTGAAGATCTCCTTTCAGGACCAGGGGATTTCCCAAGGGATACCTCTAGGGAAATTCTCTGTCTTCCATAGATTCATTCAACAAATACTCAAAAATATCTTCCATGTTAAAGACACTAGTCTAGAATCCAAGGTTAAATCACTGAACATAACACATGAAGATGCATGATCTCATGGAGTTTACATTCTTAGAGAGCAATAAATTCAATGATGATTGAAAACAAGTGGCCAAATAAACTGAATGTTCTATAAGATTGTTATGAACACTGTGGGAAAAATTAAACAAGGAGGATCCAGGAAGTAACAGGAATGTAGAATGTTTACATTATTAACAGGATGGCTGGGCACTGGTCATGCCTATGAGGCTGAGATCTGAGGATGGTGGTTCAAAGCCAGCCTGGGCAGGAAAGTCCATGAGACTCCTATCTCCAATAAACCACCAGAAAAGTGGAAGTGGTGCTGTGCTTCAAGTGGTAGAACATTAGCCTTGAGCTGAAGAGCTGAGGGACAGTGCCCAGGTCCCCCAGACTTCAAGCCCCATGATGGTCAGAAAGGTCTGTAAAGAGAAATAAGGGAACTAAACAAATAAGAGAATGAGCCAAACAGATATTTAAAGATTTAAGCACCATAGGTAATAGGAAAAATATATGCCAAGGACTAAGGTATGAGTGTGCCTAGGAGTTTCAACCCAGCTATGTGTCTGGAGCTGAGTGAATACAAGCAATGGGAGGAGATGAATTCACAGAGACCACATATATACAGCAGTATAGGCCACAGACTTTGGCATTTAGTCTGATAAGTTAGGAAAACATTGGGGGGGGTGTTTAGCAAAGAATGAACATGATCTCAGGCTCCTCTATTGAGAATCAACTGACACGACAAGGGCAGAACAGACTGCACAAAGGAAGGGTAGGCTAAAGATGAAGGGAATGAAACATTCTAGGCAGAGATGAGTGGCTTATATCCAGGGTGGTGGCTGTGGTAATTAAACATAGCTGGTTAGCTTTATTCAATGGAATTCTTTCCATGGTAATCTCAGGTATTCTGCTTTTCTGTCTCTTGAACTCTAGCCTTGATACTTGTTATGGGGTCTGCCAGCACAGAGCCGCCATCTTTCTCCTACTAGAGAAAAGACACCTGCGGGAGCTCTTTAGATGTACTCCTGAAGCTCATCCTTGCCCCTGGTGTCCTGTGTCCCACTAAATGGTACTTTCCAGCTCCACTTTCAGAATCCTTCATGCCCAGCCTATCTTCCTGGATGGTGGTCCTGACTGTCATCTTGCCTGTTCTGATCCTCCTAATATCTGGAAGCATCTGTTTCATCAAGAAACTACATAGCAGAAAGGAAAGTCTGTCAGCAGAAAAGGAGTTTGAACATGAAGAAAAAGAAATTGCACATAAGGAACTGGGTAAGGGTGTGTGTAAGAAGAGAAAGAATCAAATAAAAAGTAAAAAGGTGGAAAGACAGTTTATTGTCATAGAAAGGATACTGTTCTGCTAGATAGAAGGTTGAAGAATAGGGAAGAAAGGCAGCAACAGAAGCTTGAAACTCTCAAACCTCACACATCCGTATCCCTATGATCATGCTTTCTTCTGACTTGCAAATGTTATATTTATTTACCCAGCTTCAACAATATTAAAATTTTCAACAAAAGTAAGCCTGCAAAATTATTGATACTGCCAGGCTCTGGTGGCTCACACCTGTAATCCTACAGGAGGCTGCCATGTGAGGATTGTGTTCAAAGCCAGCCCAGGCAGGAAAGTCCATGAGACTCTTATCTCCAATAAACTACTCAGAAAAAGCCAGAAGTGGTGCTATGATTCAAGTGCTATGGTTCATTTCTAGCCTTGAGCCCAGAGGCTCAGGAACAGAACCCAGGCCCTGAGTTTAAGCCTCAGGATAGGAAAAAAAAAGTATTGATACTATCCAGGGTCTTGATTACATATCATTTCTGGTTTCTGACAGTTTCCAGGTGTGCTAGGGGGTAGCGGGGAGTGGGGTTGGGGTGGGAGTGGTATCATTTAAATAAGAACAATTCTGCATCTACATCATTGAACACAGACCCATTATTTTATTTTTGTTTCTTTTCTCAGAACAACTTCAAGAGGAACTGCGTAAGTTTAGCCTTTCCTGAATTACTATTTGTACTATTTGTGTTCTGCTTGGCTAGCCATTATCTCCTGACATTCACCTCTCTGTCACTTGCAGGATGGAGAAGAACTCTCTTAATTGCTGGTGAGTGCCTCTGCTGTTCCCTTGGGGTCTTGTGCTTCCCTCTCTAACCAGCCAAAAGGACTCTTCAGAAGACATGAACAAGGGGCCAAGCTGGCTGCAATGAGGAAGCAAGAAGCTGCAGGTGGCTTGTCAGCAATGGTCCACCAAAATTGGACCCCAGCTTGTTTTGTTTTTGGTCGGTCATGGGGCCTGAACTCGGCCTGGGTGCTGTCCCTCAACTCTTCAGCTCAAGGTTAGCGCTCTACCAGTTAGGCCACAGAACCACTTCTGGCATTTTCTGCTTATATGGTGCTGAGGAATCGAACCAAGGTCCTCATGCATGAGGGACAAGCCCTCTACCACTGAGCCACCTTCCCAGCCTATGGACCCCAGTTTTTCTCTCAGGGAATTTTCCATATATTTTCATCAGTCCTATGTTTCACATTCCACAATCCTTTCTTTAGAATGATCCATACTTACCAGAAAAGACTGCCTCAAGAGTAACTTTTAAAGAAGTTGATGCTCTTGAATCTTTGATTGGTTGGGAAGAAGAGCATTCCATCTTAGCTAATTTATAATGTAGGAGATGGTTACATTGCACAGTCAAATGCCCAAGTGGAAAAAATGCAATAGAAAAAGCAAGAAAGTTGAAGAGTACACCATTATGTGTCCAGAAATGCCCTCCTGCTCTCACAAGCACACTGATATTCTGTGTATAACTTTTTTTTTTGGGGGGGGCCCAGTCATGGGGCCTGAACTCTGGGCCTGGGCACTGTCCCTCTGAAGGCTAGCGCTCTAGCGCTTGAGCCACAGCGCCATTTCCAGCTTTTTTGTTTTTGCTTATGTGGTGCTGAGGAATTGAACCCAGGGCCTCAGGCATGCAAGGCAAGCGCTTTAACCACTGAGCCACCTTCCCAGCCCTCTGTGTATAACTTTTGAGAGGAAGAGGAGATGTGAATGTGGAAGAGTTTGTGTTTTCTGAAAAGTCCTATTGGCTGGTTAGTAAATCATGATTTAAGATTGGGGAGAGTGGGACAGAACATCTTTTTGATGGTTTAAGTAAGTCGCATGGTTTCTGACTAAAGAGAGTTCCAAAGATCATTAATAGACAAGGGGTGGAACTGACAATGCTGAAAGTAGGAATTTTAATTATGATACATTTGCTACAGTTTCTGGGTTTCTTAGAGCTCCAGTGCTTCTCTACTGAAGGCAATGTGCTTGTCACTGACAGAATATCAACCATAGTGTTTCCCAGCCTAGAAGCTGCCTAGGTTGAGTAGTCTTCATAGAAAAAGCTAATACATAAGAGAATCCCCCATCCGCTCTCTGGACCTTTCCAGGGATAAAAGCTTATACAGTCTTCAGGGATCTTGAGACCTCAGCAACTAACCTGAAGACTTCTTCCTCAGCTGATGTGGTTCTGGATCCAGATACTGCTCATCCTGAGCTCTTTCTGTCAGAGGACTGGAGAAGCGTGAGACGGGGTCTTTCTCGGCAGAGCGTGCCTGATAACCCAGAGAGGTTTGATTGTCGGCCTTGTGTCTTGGGCCAGGAGATCTTCTCATCCGGGAGACATTACTGGGAGGTGGAGGTTGAAAATGTAATGGTGTGGGCTGTTGGAGTTTGTAGAGACAGTGTGGAGAGGAAAGGAGAAGCCTTGCTGCTTCCTCAGAATGGCTTTTGGACCCTGGAGATGTTTGGGAACCAGTACCGGGCTCTGTCCTCCCCTGAGAAGATTCTTCCTCTGAAAGAGCGCCTCCGCCGTGTCGCCATCTTCCTGGACTATGAAGCTGGAGATGTTTCCTTCTACAACATGCGGGACAGGTCACACATCTACACATGTCCCCGTTCAAACTTTTCTGGTCCTCTGAGACCCTTTTTTAGACTGGGTTCTGATGACAGTCCACTCTTCATCTGCCCAGCGTTCAGAGGGGCTCAGGGGGTCACAGTGCCTGAAGGGGGGCTCATTTTACACAGAGCAGGGACCCACCATCACCCACAGAACCAATTTCTTGGTCTCAGACTCATGTAGGGATGCCACGGCCCTCAGCTACCACTACACAGAGCCCTGGTGGAAAACGGGCCCTTCTTCCCTGTGATCACAGAACACGTACTGCTTCCTTCATACTCACTTCAGGCTCCAGCAATTCACACCCTCACTAGGCTGTGGCTTTAGTCATTGATTTATTTGTAACTGTGGAGCAGGGGCCAATCTTAGGAAACAACTACTATTCCATCTCTCTCAGGCAAGAACAGTGCAAGGGGGGGGGGGGGGGGAGGCGCTGAGAAGGTGGCTCAGTGGTAGAGCGCTTGCCTTGCATGCTCAAGGCCCTGGGTTCGATTCCTCAGCACCACATAAAGAAAAAAGCCGGAAGTGGCGCTGTGGCTCAAGTGGTAGAGCGCTAGCCTTGAGCTGAAGAGCTGAGGGACAGCGCCCAGGCCCAGAGTTCAGGCCCCACAATCGGACCCCAAAAAAAAACAACAACAAAAAAAACAAAGAACAGTGCAAGAGGGCGAAGGCCAGAAAATCTGTTGTTTCAGCATAAAGCAACCTTGAGCAAGATTGAAGCCAAGACTCCAGACTTTGAGAACTTGGGATGAGGATAATCAGATGCCACAGGATGTAAGATGAAGGAGGGAATCACGAGGAAGGGAGAACAATAGAGGTCAGAAGTAGAAGTGGACTAGAAAGCTGGGAAGAAAACCAAGGACTGTAGTTAAGTCCCATTGTGACTACTAAGGAGTCACAGGAGCTGATGGCCCATTTCCATTTAACACCCCCCCCCAATTTCCAGGCCACACCATAAAGATTTTTTAGACCACACATATTCAGGCCTAGGCCTAAGATGTAAAAGAATAAACAATGATGCATCTGGATTTGGCCTGTCACAGGCATCAATGCAATAAACAACGAGTCAGCACTCAGTCATTGAGAAAAGCTTGGTATTTAAAGACTGGTGAGCAGGTGAGTATTATGCCAAGTTTATCACAGGGCTGAGGGTCAGGGGAGACAGTAGAAGTTTCAAGCTTCTTGGTCTCAGGATGCCTTTGGATACTTAAAAATGATTAATCGATCCATAAGGTGTTTGTTTGAGTTAATATCTGTTATTCATGTTATTTGAGATTGAAACTGAAAAACTTTTAAAATAGATTTATTTCTATTAAAATAATAAACCAGGGACTGGGAAGGTAGCTCAGTGGTAGAGTGCTTGCCTTGTATTCATGAGGCCCTGGGTTTGATTCCTCAGCACCACATAAGCAAAAAACAAAAAACCAGAATTGGTGCTGTGGCTGAAGTGGTAGAGTGCTAGCCTTGAGCTGAATTGCTCAGAGACAATGCCCAGGCCAGGCCTAGTTCAGGCCCCACAACCGACAAATAATAAAATAATAATAATGGGCTGGGAAGATGGCTCAGTGGTAGAGTGCCTGCCTCTCATGCATGAGGCCCTGGGTTTGATTCCTCAGCACCACATAAACAGAAAAGGCCAGAAGTGATGCTGTGGCTCAAGTGGTAGGGCACTAGCCTTGAGCTGAAGAGCTGAGGGACAGCGCCCAGGCACAGAGTTCAAGCACCACGACTGACAAAAATAAAAATAAAGAAAATAATAATAAACCAGCTATAGTTTAATATAAGTAGCAGGTCTTATAAAATATTGTATCAAAAGCAAAATACATTTTATTGAGTAGTGTGGGATTATCTGTTTTTGAAAATCTAATACCTGGTTTAATAACATGGCTAGTTTCTCAAATCTTTCTTTGCATTTAAGCTGTTGGGATAAAAGAACATATAAGAGAAACAAAAACAAAAGAATTTATAGGATCTACAAAAGTATATAATGTGTACTAGTGAAAGAATGAGAGTAAAGGCAATGATAATATTATTGTAATGAAAGCATATTAAATTTACAAATTCCTTGAAACTATATCAGAGACACTCTCCCCTGCAGGAATCCTCAATTCATATTTTGAGAACTTGAGACAATATTTTTGATTTTAGATAATTCAGTAGTCCAATTCTAAAGAGAGACTGAAAACATTATAAGTCAAAATTGCTATTAGATAGTTATACATGGATACACTCTGGAGCAAACCAGGAACATATTGATTTGTAAAGACAAGAGGTCAGAATTGTTTATATTGATATGCCAGAGTCAGATCATTCAAGCTGCTATAGCAATATACCATAGGCTGGATGGCTTACAAACAAGAGAAATTTCTTAGTGTTCTTTAAGTTGGAAAGCCCAAGTCAGGGTACAAGCAAATTCAATGCCTAGAGAGGACCTACTTTCTGGCTCATAGTTTTGGCTGTGTCCTCACAGAAGGGAAAAAGAGTTTCTCTAAGATCTCTCTTATAAAAGCACATTTCATTTACTGTGTATTCACCCTCTATGATCTAATCCCTCCCAAAGGCCCCACCTCTAAAAGCTTTCATATTGAAGATAAAATTTTAACAGTACATACTTAGTCTATTGCCATACGTATATTTATATAATTTTTAATGATTTATTTACTTTTTTTTGTCAGTAATAGGACTGGGCTTGGGCACTTCCCTGAGCTCTTCAGCTCAATGGGAGCATTCTACCACTTGAACTACACCACCACTTCTAGTTTTCTGGTGATTAATTGGAGATAAGAGTCTCATTGAGGTTCTGCCTGAACCTTGATCCTAAGAAATCAGCCTCCAGAGCAGCTAGGATTACAGGCATGAGCCACCATTAAGATAATGATAACTATCATTGTGAAGATTAAAAGGTGTTTGTGACTTTAAAATTAATAAATAAATAAAACTTAATTTCAAAAAAAGTTTAAAATGTTTCTCTTTAGCCTTACAGAGTTCTCATAACAGCTCTGTGAGACAGATGTTTAACTCCTATTAAGTTCTATAAAACTAAAGACTAGACAAGCTAATTATCTTTTCTCTCTGAGGATTTTTGGATAAAATAGAAAAAGTTTTTCAAATTTCTATTTATCCATATTAATTAACTATTGTTGCTATTTTTAAGCTTAGTAGCTTTAAAAACAAAAAAGGAAGCATGCATACAGCTTACATTTCTGCAAGGTAACTACAGTTAGCTAATCTAAATTAAGATCAGAATGTTTTTCCAAGTTTCAGAATCAACTGTGGTGCCCCTGCTCTGTGGATATAGCATCCCCTATCTTATCCCAGTGATGGCAGAGGAAAAGTATAGGAAAAGTGACTCTCATAAGGCCTTTGAATTAGAACTGGTACTGCTATTTCTACTCACATGCCACTGGCCAAACCTCAAGGCAAAAGGTAGTGCATATATTCCACCTATGAAGAAGTATGGTGAAGTCAGGCATGGTAGTACATGCTTAATCTCATCACTAGGAAAATAAGCAGTGGGACTGTAAGTTTGACCCTAGCCTGGACTACATCGTGAGTTCCAGGCCAGTCTGAGCTATGAAACCCTGTCTCAAAACAAGACAAAGCAAAACAACAAAGAAACAACAAAAAGTCACCATCAACTACCTATAGATCTGAAAGGTATTATAGGCTCTGACTGAAAAAAACAAAAGTAGGCCAGGTGGTCTGGAGGCTGGCCAAGCACTCACAGCTAAGTTATGTGTTTCCTATTTAAACACTTTTATGCACCTATTAAAAAGCAAGGTTATTCTGACATTGTGATTGGAATACGTAAAACACTACCATTCCATAACCATGTAACATCACAGACAACAACACTACAAAACCAAACGACCATCTCTTCCTCCCAGCTAACCAATGTGATTGCTGCTTCTTTGCCAGTTATAACTTTAGTTCACTTTGTTCTTCCCACTTCCAAACACTAGTAGAATGCCCAATCATAGACTTATCCTCCACTTCCCAACATTCAGAAACAAGCTCTTTTTTTTTTTAATGGAACTTTCCCCAACTCTTCTAATATAAGCCTAACTCCTATAACAAGTAATTATGGAGCCTCAATGAGAATCTCTAATATTTTCTTTCTGATACGTGCTCACCTTTGAATTCTCCTTAGAATGTGTAATTGCTTTATATTGTAGACATCCATGCTGTAAAAAGTACCAGTAAATTCACACGGTTGGATAGCTGGTGAGCTTGGCTGACAGTTTGACCATAGGTAGTCAGACTTGACTCCCAGCCTTCCAGTATTCACTTAAACTTGGCCCCAGACTTTCAGTTTCCCAGTACAGGAAAATCTCAACATCTAAAGCCAAAAGGAACTTCCTGTTCAATGCTCAGAACAACAACCAAAAAAAACCTGAAACAAAAAGTTCATGACTTATTGATTTTTTTTTCAGTAATCAATTTTCACAGAAAGAAACAGTTGTTTCACTCTATGTTTTATTTTTATTTTTTATTTTTTTTGGGTCCAGTCTTAGGGCCTGAACTCTGGGCCTGGGTGCTGTCCCTCAGCTCTTCAATTCAAGGCTAACGCTCTACCACTTGAGCCACAGTGCCACTTCTGGCTTTTTTGTTTTTGCTTATGTGGTGCTGAGGAATCGAACCCAGGGCCTCAGGCATGCAAGGCAAATACTCTACCACTGAGCCACCTTCCCAGCCCTTACTCTATTTTTTGGGGGGGGAGGGGTCTGGTCTTGGGGCCTGAACTCTGGGCCTGGGCACTGTCCCTCAACTCTTCAGCTCAAGGCTAGAGCTCTATTACTTGAGCCATAACACTACTTCCGGTTTTTTTTCATTTTGCTTATGTGGTGCTGAGGAATCAAATCCAGCTCTACCACTGAGCCACCTTCCTAGCCCCCTCACTATGTTTTATATACACATTCCCAGCATACATTCAATGGTAACTGCTTCCCACATTATTTGAATTAAATGATAATTTGATTTTGCTGATTTCCCAAAGAAACTCATAAAAGGGCTTCGAAAATCTGAGTCTGCCTTGCAGACTCCAAAAACAATCTTTTGTGAGCCTTCTGTTACTCCAGAATGCACACACACACACACACACCACACACACACACACACACCACACACACACACACACACACTATTGTATATGAACCACTGGATCTTCATTTCTCCAGAATTCTGAGTTTCTGCCTACAAAGGAATTAAGGTTTCAAGATACATAAGAATGAAAAAAAATACAGCATTTTCATGATGAGGATAAAAATAGATATGGTGATAATTGTTTCCCACTTTTCCTTGGGAAATAAAATCTATTGAAAGTTGACCACAAGTTTAGCTGATTCATTTCTCCTTCCCCAAGTAATTAGAAGGCACACCAGCAGTTAGCAAGATGGGCAGTAGTAAAAGGAAGACAGAGACCATCTTTCTTTTTTCTCCATTCTTTTCATTTAGTTGAGCTCATTGATGTATATCCTGATGTCTGAGCAGAAGACTACAAATTCATAGTTCTCTATCTCTGTGGGAAACTTTTGCCCCCAAAGTAAATATACCAGGCCACCTAAGGCAGGCTTTCCAGAGAGCACTTCCTCCTTCCTCCTTCTGCTGGCCTTTAATTTTTGCCCCTGGGATCAGAACCAACTTTTTCACTTGGTGGCAGTGACTCCTTGTGCCTTCTCCTCTCAGATCATCGGGGTCATCAGATGCTACTACTTAGTCCCCCTGCAAGTGAACAGCAGGAAGGTATAGTTACCTCTTTCCAACTTTTCACTAGTACTGGGCCTTCTATTCTTCACAATCCACAGTTCCTCTTGTTCCATCTCCTCCCTTCATTTTCTCTTTTTTTATCTAATTTCATTTGCCTCCATTTCAACCTTCATGGATTTTTCTTTATTACCACTTTTTTTTAGGGGGGTACGGGTGTGTAGGTTTTTAGGAAGGGTGGGATCTTGAACTATGGACACTGTCCCTGAGCTTTTCTGCTCAAAGCTAGCATTTGCCTACTTTGAGCCATAGCTCCACTTCCAGTTTTCTGGTGTTCAGTTGGAGATAAGAGTCTCACAGACTTTCTTCCCTGGACTGACTTCAAACCATGATCCTCAGATCTCAGCCTCCTGAATAACTAGGATTACAGGCAAGAGACACCCGCTCCTGGCTTTTAATATCTTTTCTAAAAACAAATAAAGAATTGTTCTATTATGAACAAGCCCTTTTAAAAATCTTTAATGCTGTGATTCCAAGATTTGTTCATTTTCATGCAACTCATTAATGCCATTGGTACAACTCCTAAAATAGACGATGTCTATTTTAGTACAACAGGGCCCTATTTGCTGTTTTGTATATGCTTGATCGTACAGGAAGATGAACAACTGAGCCCTGATAGTTGATAGCATGGATAGGAAACCGCTGGTGAGGAGGCACAGAGGGTCTTCAGATACAAATGACCAGAGCCCCCCTGGTGAGCAAGAACTGTTGCTGAATATGCAGGACACTGGGTCTGCAGAATCCACCTTTACTTCCTGTCTGTTCATCTAGGCTGAAGCTCCTAGCAGACCAACATCCGTGTCCTCCTGCCCCAGAAAGGTGAGACATGGCTGTTTCTCCAAATTCCTGCCTCTCCAGGTATCTGCTCATCTTCATGCTCCTGCAGCTGCCCAAGCTGGATTCAGGTAGGTCTCCCCCGCTTTCTTTGTCTCTCTGTCCCTCTGTCTCTCTCTCTGTCTTTGTCTCTGTCTCAGAAATATCCCAATACATTAAACTGGTCTGTAGAGACCTCCAGTAGGGTCTAGGTGGACTTCCTCAAACTACCACAGGAAAAAATAGTGCAAGGAATGCTACCTCTTAATAGGGGCCTAGTCTCAACGGGTCCTCAATTCCCATCCCCTCATCTGGTCTGACTCTGCTTGTTTTGGCAGCTTACTTTGATGTGATTGGACCCCAGGAACCCATCCTTGCTGTGGTGGGTACAGACACCCAGCTGCCTTGTCATCTCTCCCCAAACATGAGTGCAGAGCACATGGAGCTACGATGGTTTAGACAAACGTTGTCACCGGCAGTGTTTCTGTACCAAAACCAGCAGGAGCAGGTCAGGGAGCAGATGCCTGAGTACCAAGGGAGGGTGACCCTGGTGAAGGACAACATCACCACTGGACATGCTGCTGTGAGGATACATGGTGTCAGGGCCTCAGATGATGGGGAGTACCGATGCTTTTTCAGGGAGAATGAAAGCTATGAAGAGGCTATTGTGCATCTGAAAGTGGCTGGTGAGTGCACTGAAGAATTCTCACATTCCCTGACTACCATGCTGAATTTATCTTCCTATGGGTCTCTTACTATGGAAACCACCAGATTCATCTCCGAATCTTTTGCAGAGGGTTGGCAGGTCTGCAGTTGAGATAACTGGGAAAGAGTTCCCACAAAGTGAAATATCTTTTTCATAGAGCTTTATTTCAATTATCTCCTGCCCTTTCCCCTTATTTTTATACGATTATATCATAATTGAGCAATTCCCAGAATTAGGTAAGCCATGTCTATTTTTCACCATCTTGAAAAGTCGTGGTGAGAATCTCACATACTTGAGGCTATTTGTGGATATGACTCTAAGGACTGAATGCCTAAGGTCACATAGAGCATAGCTCTTTGCTAATGTTCCTGGTCTATCCAGGAAACGCCTTTTTTTTTTTTTGCTTTGATTTTTTTTCCTTCTTCCAAAGAAAACTCTGGGTGCAATCACAAGGAAAATGGTTGTCATTCTGGATGAAAGTGTACATTGCATTGCAGTCTGATATTCTCATTGACTAGTGATGAACATCAAATAAATCTCCTGAGCCATGTTTTCCACTGTGAAATTTAAAGTAACAGGCTGGGCTTTGGTGGCTCATGCCTCTAATCCTAGCTACTCAGGAGGCTGAGATCTGCAAATTGAGGTTCAAAGCCAGCTTAAGCATGAAAATCTGTGAAATTCTTGTCTCCAATTAGCCAGTAAAAACCCACAAGTGGAGTTGTGGCTCAGGTGTTAGAACAGCCTTGAGAGAAGAAGTTAAGCACCCATAGCTCAAATTCAAGTCTCAGTACTGGCACACACAAAATATTTAATTCTCAGTTATGATCTAAGAGAAAATAACTTTCTCCTGAAGAATACTCTTAAATAGCTCAATTCTAGTTCTCCCCCTCAAAGCCATCTCATAATACTTTCTACCACAGAGCTTTTGCTCATCTCTGACGTTCCCAGGATGGACCATTGACACACCTCAAAGCAACTGGTCTTGCTGTTTTTGCCCAGTGTCTGCCCATCTGACTTCTGCCACCCCCTCTCATTTTAAAGGTTAAATTACAATAATTCATATATCTATAATAATGTATATAAAATTCTTTTCCTTGCATAATAAAATATTGAAAGGAATCCTTCCTATTCCCATTCCTTTTTTAATTTTTGTCTCTTGCTCTCTTTTTCTTCTAAGTATGATTATGAGGCTCCTAAAAGTTCATTCACTGAAAGATTAAGTCTAGCTCCTCTCTTTATAGCTCTAGGCTCTGATCCTCATATCAGTATGGAAGTTCAAGACAGTGGACAAGTGCAGCTAGAGTGCACCTCGGTGGGGTGGTATCCAGAACCCCAGGTGCAGTGGAGAACTCCCACAGGAGAGACTTTATCATCCAGGTCAGTGTCCAAGAATCCTGATGAAGAAGGCCTATTCACTGTGGTAGCTTCAGTGATCATTGGAAGTAACTCCATAGAAAATGTGTCCTGCTCTATCCAGAATCTCCTTCTTGGCCAGGAGAAGGAAGCAAGAATTTCCATACCAGGTCAGTGCAACCAATGTTGGATTCTTGTTTCAGGGCCACATATGATCTGGGGCATTTACTCAGGTGTGATCTCATAGCCGGGTTGTCTACTCTTTCTACCTAAGAGCTTGTTCACTGACTTGAAGAAGAATAAGGATTCTGAACACATATAGAAATTTCAAAGGTGTCTGAGACAACAAGACAGATCTCTAGAGATAAATTTTTCTTGTTTTACTATTTCCACCTATTTCTATTTACCTGCTCATCCCCTTTTCATTCCATGCTAGGTCTCAGTATAGATTTCCAGAGTCCAGGGAAAGAAATCCTCTCTTATTCCCTAGGAATTACCTCTGGTATATGCAGAAACTTTTCTTTATTTTTGGTCAATGCTTCTTATTCTGTTACACACACATGTGATATTTCCTCTTCATTATTAATCTCCTGTATCCTCTCGGCTCCCATTCTGCATTGCTAGTTAAGAAGAAATTGTTTAGAAAGACCTGAAAAACATTAAGTCAGCCCAGAGAGACAAAGGATGCATGTTTTTCTCTCCTATGCAGAAAGTAGATCTAATTTATAAATGTACAGACACACCGATAAAGAATCGTATGCAAATGTACACAAATATATTAACCATAGTATGATTTATGCAGGGAATTCAAATGTAGCTCCTTAGAAACACCAACTCACAGACCAACAAAATCAGTACCAGGAAGCTGGTGCTTGAAATGTTGTGGGAGGAGGTTAGGGGGAGGGGCTACCCTCTTACAAATGAAGGGAGGAAGGAAGGGGGAAATACATATCCTAAAAAAACTGGGGAAATTGAGGGGAGAAGTTAGGTTTGAAGGGAAAGGGAGAATGATGAAAGTGGTGATAAACTGACATGTTGAATGGTAACTCCTTTGAATAACTCATTTTAAAAAATTAAAAGAGTAAAAATAAAATCTCACCCTGAGGAAAACAGGAATTTCTATAACATGTTTCAGTTCATGATATCCTTTATTCTACACGTTCTACCACAAATCACTCTTCATGCCTCTCTTTGTCTTCTATGCATTTCCCAAGGCCATTTTTTCTGAAAATCTTACAGTGGTATTATAGGCATGATTTTGCCATGGTTGGGTTGGAAGTGGTCACCGTCATCTCTTCCATCTGTTTTTAGCATTAGGAAAAAAGCTGTATTTAGAGTTTCCCAACCAGTGTTCTTTGGGATTTTGTTTCAGCTCCCTTCTTCCCAAGACTGACTCCCTGGATAGTGTCGGTGGCTGTTGTGCTAATTGTCTTAGGACTTCTCACCATTGGCTCCATATTTTTTATTTGGAGATTGTACAAGGAAAGAGAGAGGACGAGTAAATTCAGTTCTACAGGTAAGTCATGAAATCCACAGGGACTAGTTACTTGTCAGGAGTGCTTCAGAAGACATTTGGATTCATGGTCTTTAAGATGACTTTTAACTGGAAGATATTTGATTCTAGAATTCTGCAAATGGAATTATGTCTTCTGAATTGGCAGATGCTTAATGAAGAGAGATCTAGGGTGTAATCAGGGTCAAAACTGGTTCTTTTTTTTTTTCTTTTGGCCTAAGCCAGGACTCAAACTTGGTACCTGACACTTTCTCTCCTTTGCTACCAGTCTAAATCAACTAAGCCATGCTTCCAACTCTGAAAGCCAGTTCTAATTGATATTTACTCACTACTTTGACTCTCTTAGTTTCCCAGTAATGATTTACTATTAAAGAGCTAATACCAAGTCAGAAGGAACTTCCCTGAGTATTTCTTGGAAAAAAAAAAAACAAGACTAAATACTATTCCTTATTTATTGGTAATGTTTCAACAATCAGGTAGTCATGAATCAACAGTTCCTCTTTTATGTGTTTCCTTTACCATTTGTGTTTATTGTAAAAAGTCACTAAAGTAATATTGTTTGTTTTCCAGAGAAACTACTAGAAGAACTCAGTAAGTTCTGTCTTTGTTATTATTTCACTCACAGAGTTTTCTCTCTCATATTTTATAACTCGTCACTGACAATCTCTGTCTTTCATTGCAGAATGGAAAAAGGCTACATTGCATGCAGGTTAGTGGCTCTGAACTTCTCAAGGCCTTGGAGGCCCTGTCTCCCAATAATTCAAAGTCCCATGAAGCATGGACATGAGAATAAAGCATTGTAGTCACTTGGATAAGAAGGGGACAAGGTGATAACAAATATGTTAACATTTTGCTTGAAGCTCCCAGAAGACCTTTGGAGGATGGGTAGGAGACAAGTCCCTTCTGTTAACATCCCATTAGTAATGTTCAACCCCTATATTACTGCTAATGAGTTTGGAGCCTAGGTGGAATATGGAAATTTAAGCCAGGAAGGCAGCTCTCCCCTGACACCTACACTTCCATTTGTTTGGAGAAAAATCTAGTAGATCCCTCAATATTTACTGGTGCTCATATATTCTCTCTCTCTCTCTCTCTCTCTCTCTCTCTTTCTCATTTCCAGTTGATGTGACTCTAGATCCAGACACAGCCCATCCTCATCTCTTTCTGTATGAAGACTCAAAATCTGTTCGACTGGAAGATTCACGCCAGAAACTGCCTGACAAACCAGAGAGATTTGACTCCTGGCCCTGTGTGTTAGGCCGTGAGACTTTCACTTCAGGAAGTCATTACTGGGAGGTGGAGGTGGGAGACAGGACCGATTGGGCAATCGGTGTGTGTAGAGAGAATGTGATAAAGAAAGGATCTGATCCCATGACTCCTGAAAATGGGTTCTGGGCTGTGGAATTGTATGGAAATAGATACTGGGCCCTTACAGCACTGCGTACCCCTCTCCCATTAGCAGGATCGCCGCGCCGTGTTGGAATTTTCCTGGACTATGAATCAGGAGACATCTCTTTCTATAACATGACTGATGGATCTCAAATCTATACTTTTCCCAGTACTTCTTTCTCTGGCCCCCTCCGGCCATTCTTTTGCCTATGGTCCTGTGGTGAAAAGCCCTTGACCATCTGTCCAGTTGCTAATAGGCCTGAGGGGGTTATAGTCGTTGCTAATAGCCAGGACCTTTCTAAGGATATCCCTTTGTCCCCTGTGGGGGAGGATTCTGCCTCTGGAGATACTGACACTCTCCATTCTAAACTAATCCCTTCCCAATCCAACCAAGGGCTACCTTAAGAAAAATCCCTGCTCAACTGTTTTCTTTTGCTCTAATTCCTCTCCTCCATCACCCCAAGGTGTCAGCTGACAGTTTCACATAGTCCCTGTTTCTTCCTGTTGGGTTTTGATTACTTCATTTTAAGAAAGGTGTGTTGCTACTGCTAATCTGTTTCTGTACCAATAATTAGGGGGGTGGGGAAGGGAGGGGAGGTGATACCTAAAAGACTTCTTTCTGATTCCTTAAGGCCAGAACCCACAGAGAAGGATTTGGGCAAATAGCTCAGAAATGGGTTGAGATGGGGTTGAGGCAGAAAGTTCTCTGTGTCTGGAATAGAGGTATGAAGAGGAAGAGGTTTTTAAGCAAGCAGAAAACCCAAAAAGTACTAGAAAAGGAAGAGCTTAGTTTAAAAATCCCTTTAAGGACAGTATGATGAAGGAAAACGAGGTACACTGTTCTGTTTCTAGAAATTGTCTAGTATGTATGTATGTGTATACACACACACACACAAACACACACACACACACACACACACACATATATATATATATCACATTTTCTAAGCCACATCCTATATGATCGATTTTTTTCTACATCTGGAACTGAGCTGTGGGGAATAGGGAAGAGAGAAGAACACAGTGAGCAGGGCTGGAGGACTAGTCAGAAAGGGAAAGAGGAAAGAATTTTTAACAAAAGTCTACAGATTGTCTGCACAGCCTTGCCTCTCAGTACCCTCCTATTTCTCCCTGGCTTGAGGGTCAACCCATCCTCACTTGGTTGATGCAACAAATTTCTAGCTCTCCTTTCTGGTTTAGCATCCTATAGTGACATCAACCCCTTGCCTCTCAGTCCTCAGTCCAATGTCCAAACTTCTCATACCTTCAGTTAGCCTCGGTTGCCATCCATTTCCACACTGTGCCACTGCTTACTTTCTCCTCTCCCAGCTCTCTACCCTCCTTTTACATGCTGCTTCACTTAAAGGTCCCCAAATGCTTCACTATGTGCTCAGCACAGTTGGATTGATCAAACCTGTTAACATTTGTCCCTGAGCTTTTTCTGTATACCTGAGGGTGTTTTTTTGTTCATTTGTTTTTGCCAGTGACTGAATGTATTCAGGTGCCTAACTCCCAATTCCAAGGTATTTTTCTAGCTTTCAAGTTGGATGTTATATCCATGATGTTCACCTAATAAATAAGTCTGATTGATCAAGGCAATCTCTGAACTTTCCTTCCTTTATCCCAACAAGTGGGACTGAAACAATGCAAAACAGGGGAGACAGACCTATGTAGGGAATACAACTGGCCAAGCAGTGCCATTCTGGATGATCCAAGGCTCATCCCTGGACCTGAATGCTATGGATTACCAGAACAGGTGACTGTTAGGTGGTTGCTGCCCATGAAAATCAAACTACCTTAAACTAACAAGCAAAAGGAAAGAAAGAAAAAAGAAACAAAAAAAAGAGAGAGAAAGAGAGAAAGAGGGGAGAGAGAAGAAAGAAGGAAGGAAGGAAGATCCACAGAGCTAATTGCTTCCTTGCCTTCAGCCAGTAGAAATGGGTGAAAAGGATCTCAGGTTTTACTTAACTCATTCACTCATTCATTCTTTCATTTTTGGTGGTACTAGAGTTTAAACTCAGGGTCTTGTACTTGCTAGGAAGGCAGGTTTCAATGAAGTTTGCAACTCCTCCTCTCTTTCCCTTTCCCCATGACCTTCCAAGAAAATTATCACTGGGAAAAAGATAGAATCTTAGGGAACACTGTGTTTCTTCCTCTTTGTATCCCAGTTCTAGCCTCTTTGGATGTCACACCCCAGAGGAAGAAGTTATCAGATACATGAACCTGCCAGTGGTTCCTTGTCCAGCTGGCACCAGGTATCAGAGCTGTGGCCCAATGATGAGGAAATTATCAATTCAGTAGTCTGGTTCTATTTCCAAGTCTCCTAAAAGAAAAGAGTTGTCACTGTCTCTTGAGGCAGTCAATATTATGATGACAGAAGCACTTTAAAGGCATCTGTCACTTCAACAAAAAAATTACCTAAAGTAGTTGCTAATTTCTAATAATCCAGTTAAACCAGAGACAAAAGCATTTCCACTCTACTACCCAAGATCAGACTAATTGAATATATCACTAAAATAATAATAGCTGTGAAATCAGCTATTTCACACTGACAAATGCCAACTCTGGTAGTCATGTGTTTAGAAGATGCCTGCCTTATCTAAGAGAGACCAAACATTCAGATTAAGAGAAACATTATCACACATCCTCCCTAATTGAATCTAACAATTGGATTTTAGTATCTCTGTGGATTATTTCCATTTTATCTCCCAGAAAAGCAACATCATCATCCAGACTCTACTGTTTCAGGCAGTAAGAAACACTTTCCTTTGGTTGTGGTCATGTCTGATTTTTTACAGTGATTCATATCCTGGCACTTCAATGTTGATGCACAGGTATGTGCAGCCTTTGAGCAACCACTGTAAGTTATGGTTTTTACTGCTCTATACCATGTTTTGCAAATATTTGGGGTTGGAGTTCTGTATTATATAGGCCTAGGGTATTTTTTTTAATGAATGTGGCTACACTAATCCTTAAAAGAAAGACTTTTCTCAAAAATGAACCCTATTATTATGGTCTTACCATTAGAAATACCAGGAGGTAGCAAGGGCTACTTAAAAAAAAAAAAATCGGCTTCAAGTGGCTCTCCCAGACCTTATTTCATTGGTCTGAGGTAGAGAAGATGGTATTTTTTAAAAAATCTCTTCATAGCACTGTAGCTCAAGTCGTAGGGTGCTAGCGTTGAGCAAAAGAAGCTCAAGGACAGTGCCTAGGTCCTGAGTTCAAGCCCTAGGACTCCCCTCTCCCCCCCCAAAAAAAAACCTCTTCAGAAGAGAACTACTGTTTTAGAGGATTATGAAAAGCATCATGGGCCAAGCTCACACCTGTAATCCTAGCTGTTTAGGAGGCTGAGATCTGAGGATCGAGGGCAGAAAAGTCCGAGAGACTTTAATCTCCAACAAACTACTTGAGAAAGAGCGGAAAGTGACTCTGTGGCTCAAGTGGTGGAGCTCTCTCTCACCTTGAGCACCGAGGTTCAGGGACAGTGCCCAAAGCATTCTCGGTGACTTTTCTCACTGGCTACTGTGGGGAGAAAGTTTTTCAAGTAGAATGGGAACCATAATTACCAGACCCAGTAGTTCCAGGAAGGGCAGAGAATTTGCATCGATCTAATTCTCTGGAGATGAACACTTGATGCATAATCTAAGGGATTAAGCCATGTAATGATCAACTGAATTAACAATTGGAAAGTGTCTTCAAATGACTTATCTAAGATCTTCCAGGCAGTTGGTCATCTAGAGGTAAGACTGTTTGAAACCCGAACGCAGGCTCCCTAGGCGTTCGCAGCTCCTGGGTCCTGACGGCTCCTGCTAAGTTGAAGTAGGTCACCTCGGATTTAGATCTGCTGCCATCAAAGCTTAGTATCCAGGACACCCAGCTCTAGATGGAGTAGATAGCGAAAATCACTTATTGTTTTGGTTTCGCTTTTTCAAAAGTGTTTTTCTTTCCTTTTTAATACACGATGACCTCCGCATCGAAAAGGCACAAATAGTATATACAAGGAAGACAAGCTCGTCCCTAAATGCCCTTGGTTAGGGTCAACAGCAGCTGGGGCAGGAGAACATCCATTACAGTACGGAGAGGAATAAGCGTAAAACCTCCCCGGAGTAAGTGTCGATTTAAACAAGGCTTCTAGCAATCTGAATTCAGCCTGGGGATCGGTGTTTCTAGGAGAACTCGGTAGAGTGGAGAGAAAGCATCCTCATGTACGGTGGGTGCTCGGTGCAGCCCGGGCTCCCAGTCGCCAAAGCGGCCCGGTGCCCGGATTCTAGCCGGCGTTCACACCAGGCCGCCCAGCCGCCCGGACTACCCCAGTCCATCCCGCGTTGCCCCCCGGGCAACGAAAAGAGACAAAAGGGAGTTTTGAAAGCACCGTGCTACGGAAGTCAGGATGGCCGAGCGGTCTAAGGCGCTGCGTTCAGGTCGCAGTCTCCCCTGGAGGCGTGGGTTCGAATCCCACTCCTGACAGTAGGCAATTATTTTCTTTGTCTAAGTCTTAGAACTCTACTATGTGCTCATTACAAATTCATTATTTAAGCAATTGAGTGAAAGTATTCTGTACTCACTCATTTGAAAAGTAGTCATTTTAATCATTACAAATTCATTATTTAAGCAATTGAATGAAAGTATTCTGTACTCACTCATTTGAAAAGTAGTCATTTTAATCATTTCTCCTTTCTATTATCTCTATTTCTCTTTCTCTTGAACATGCAATGTTGAGTAAATGTTAATTGGCGTTTAGGGCCCATACTCATTATTGATGACTACAGGTCACCCTTTTTTTTTTTTAATTTACTTATAGTCTCTTTTGTTAATTCACTTTCCTCAGTCTCATTCCCCCTTCTTCCCCCAACAGCCTTTAACAATAGCAACACCAAGCCCCCACTACCCAGAAATGGCTACACTTATTTTGTTTTTGTAAAACATATATTATTGGTTTGTGTTGGATAATTTATAGTGTTATAGATTTATTCTTATTTTTACTTTATTCCTTTGGCACTATTGTTCTGAGTTATGTTGCTGAGTATGATCTAAACAAATTGCATTTAATTTCTACAGAGAGGTCTACTGTGTGAAGTCACCTACTGCCCCAAGAATGGCTCCCAGATTGGTCCAATGCTTTGCCACTACAAAGTAGGGTTTTATCGATATACATCTTCCTGTATTTTCTATTGAGATTGTACGTGGATTCTATTTGAGAAAAGAATAATAGGAATGAATTTCAGGTGATGAACTCTGACAAGCCTCTAATTTTATAGTTTAGAATAAGAGGATCATTTAAAGGCACGGAAGTTCATAGTAGATGATGACTCCAGAAATATCCCTCAAATTCAAGTTTTTTTCTAATGCTTCACCTGTTCATCTCAAGTATATATAGCTGTAATTACAAAAAAGTATGTAATGTA